CACCATCATCGGAATCTTTGTATCAGATTAGATTTAATCATGTTTTTTTACTCAGATTTTGAAGCTGATTTCGAAAAAAAGAAGTCTTATAAGTCTAACAGAAAAGTAGAATAGAAAATTTTGCAGATACTGAAAAAAAACGACATCTACTTAGTTTTTGATTTTTTTTTCTATCCGAGAAAGCTATTCACAAAAGCTAAAAAGTAGTTTTTCTTGATCAGAAGAGCAAATTCTATCGAACTATGTATAAAACAAAGGAAAAAAGTATCTTATTTAGTATTTCCCGTTGCGGACACATTATAAGGAGTTAGACTTCATGTCTTCAAACTATATGCTTGTCAACAATAGACGTTTTATAAAATTGCTGTGAATAATACAAGAACGTTTAGAAAAGTTTATATGTTCGTGATATGAAGTTTACAAACTCAGAAACTCTTCTTCATGCAAGCTGTTGTGTATGAGGCCTTTAAATGGCAAGAGTATCAAGAAAAATTCAAAACCATGATTTTTCCAAAAAATCTGGAATCTTACAAGAATTTTTGACAAACCAATACATTAAAAGTTCAATAGTTTCTTGAAGTCTTAATAAGGGCTTAAATCCGTCTGAATTTTTCATTAGAATACTATGTAGTATAGATACGCAAAAAAAGCATTGAAATCAGAAGAAAAAAATTGGGAAGATTTCTTCTTGAATCTATGAATCGGTCTTGTTTGTCAAATCGAGATTATTAACTATAATTTTATATTCTTTGAATACGTGACACTATTACGATAAACAAAAAAAGTTTTTCTTTTGTGTAATATCAATGGCTTAATTCCAGCTCCATATCAAACGTATGGTAAACAATGTGTTAGTGCTAAATGTGATTCATCAAAAGGATTAGTATGTAGAGATATAAATAAATCTAAAATCTGTCAGTGTCCATCGGGCAATTGGTTTTGGTATAGTAATACAAAATGTCGTATGTTAATTTTGAAAAGAAAATTACAATATCTTTATTGTTATATTTTCAAATAAATAAGGCGAATGTCCACCTAATTGGATTGTTAGTAATAATAATACTGGTTGTTATTTAGTATCATATACAGAGTTAAATTTCACTGATGCTTATCAATGGTGTGCGACAAGTCAAAGTCGACTTATTGAAATCTTAAATGAAAATATATTTCTTACATTACAATCCATCAAAGACTTTAGTTTTAATTTAACGAAAACTTATTGGATTGGCTTACGTGAAACTGGTCCTAATGAAAGTTTGTTTTGTTTATTTCTTAAATCAAATTTATCTATTATTTTATTTGTAGATATTTATCGTTGGGTTACATCAACATCAACATTTTCTAATTCAAATTATTTTTGCTCAGGTCAACCAGCTCATACATATAATTATTATTTTCAAGAATATGATCAATGTATTGGTTTATATATTCAATCAAATACTTCATCATGTTTACGTGATTCAACATGCTCCAATGTATTACCATTTATATGTGAATTATGTAAGTTTTGTATGTATTTTACAATTATATTTTGTCTGTTTTCTTTTTATAGATTAAAACCAATACGACTTGCTCTTTTTTTTGCTTCATATATCAAAAAGATAATAAAAAGTGAAAAAAAATTAAATGAAAACTTCGAATGTTGATAATCAAAAAAAAATCGATATCTCATAAAGAACAAAGAATCGTTTTTACAGTTGATCATGCATCGCTTTACAACCAAAATATATTCACATTTCACTAGGAATTATGTTTTTATTCTGTCTTTGTGAAGCAGAAAATTTATTTTTCGATCAATCAACTAATTCAAGTCTAAATAAAATATTGAATAGTACCATTTGTGAAGTCTATCTCTAAGAGAACTCTACTCACACATAGCAGTATGTTTCTAATGAATATTATCTATGAATGATTTCATTCTCTACCTCTGACTCCTCATCTATCAACAGCTATAGTTATAGCTGATGATCGATACGAGCAGAGAGATCAGCGGCTAACTTTCGTCGCTGCAATCATTTTGATTGTCTCAAAGTTTAAAAAAAGTAAGTCCACAAAAATTTACCTTTTTGAGTGGCTTCCTTCAATACAAAGGCAATGTACGATTGAAGATAACAAACCGAAGGCTATTGATATAACTATGAACCTTCATTTCTCTTTTTGAACCAATATTTTCTGAATTCGAATATCTCGAAACCATCGCGACACAAAATATGAACAATATAGTGTACATCAAGAAAGAACTAATAAAAACTCCCTGAGGGCTATATAACACCGGTGCTTGGCAAATCATTCATCAAAACTTTAATTAATACTGATACTAGCTTACAATATAAGGAGACTCTCTAACTTTTTCGACCCATAAGTACTCCAAATATAATTGTCAATAACAAACCTATTTGTTAATAATCATTCAAATTTAACTCAATAGAATAAGAATTTTTATTCAAATGAAAAGAGAGCAAAGATTTAGTAGGCATGTATCTACTAAGTATTCTTTGCTATGAAGAAATAGAAAAGTCTCTTTCGCTACTTTTTCCGTCGCTTCAGTTAGTCGCTCGCTAAAACAAGAAAACATAAAATATTGCTTGACATGAGTGTGCAAATCATATAGTTACATTACCACTTCTGCTCACTGTTTTCTCATTACCTCAACAAAGAAAAAATCAAGAACATGGAGTTTCTGATTGATTCTGAAAACTCGAAAGAAGGCCTACAAAATAAGATATTTTCGTGTCTTTTTTAAGATATGTTCTGTGTTAAATAAGACGATGTAAACTTCATTGCGACACGTCTTTTGTGTATTTTTCAAAGGTCATCGAGATATTTTCATTGGAAAAGTATGGCTTTGACTTAAAATTGATAAAATATTTGAAATCACCATAAAATCTTGATTCAGCTTATGTGTAGTTGAATGTATTCTGACGAATTTTTTTCTCCAAATCTCCAAAAGTCCGGCTGCGATCCCTTCAAGTGTCCAGCCGAAAAATTGATTTTATTTGGAAAGCCATATGATCAATTGAGAATTGCCGAATACGATGTGCGCTTTTTAAACACCGATTTTGAGGAGCGTGAGATTTATTTATAGCAAATGGAAACTGAATATTAATGGACAACATAATCAATATGTTATCAAAACGAAGACTCAATCTTATGTCCGAATCTCATGTAGATCTTATTACTTAATTGGATTAAATATGAGCCTGACGAAGCATCACGAAATTGCATTTGTTTATACTTTGATACCTGTATCTCATCAATATTCAATGCATATCCTATGAAATTTTTATCGTAGATACAAACTATTTAGGTCTATCATCAGTAAAAAATTCCATTGATTTTTCTTTAGTCAGACCCGAGTTATTCAAAAGATATCGGTCGTTACGAAGTTTCAAAAAATAGAATTTTTAAAGGACTGTGTAAAAGTTTAGCATTTTACTACTAAACGAAGCGATATAAAAAATAAATGCTTTATATGAAAGTTGTTCGATTGTTCTCAACCTTCCAGAATATCAGGTCATTTCTAAAGTAGAATAATTGCATCGAATGAAATTATAACAATACTTTCCGTTAAGAAATTTCGTCTTTTCCTGATGTTGTAATGCTTGAGGTCTAGGAACTTAATATTTCAAATCATCATGATAGAAATCTTCCTTCTTTATAATCCATGAGTAGTTCAACAATAGTTTCATCGTCCCAATATGTCAGTTTTACTTTCACAACGAAATCACATTTGAACGTCGATCTATTTTTCAGGCAAAAAACATGTCATATAACAATGCATAAAACTATACCCTTCTGTAAAAGTTAGTCAATGAACCTTTTTATAAGCATCTGTTGGACGAAAAATGGGATTTATTACACTCGTCTGTTAGGCATTTCACAGCTTTCGACACGTTTGACAATCTATCGATAATCTACTTTCACTTGTAGAGACAGTTTTCTTCGGTTTTGTGATTCCATACACTGCTAATGCGAGAGTAATCGATGCCTGGCAATGTTGATATCATATTTCATTGTTTTTCTCCTTGAACTATGAATACACAATAACTGTGCTTCATAGACATCCATTATATTTTAAAGTTAGTTCTTTTCATCTTGTGTCATCGTCAAACTGAAATCAGAATTTGATCTTGAAATTTTGAATAATTAACTTTAAAAACATTACTCCAAACTATTGGAAAAGTCAGAGCTAATATTATTATTTTGCAACGTTAGTGATTACACTTGACGGACTACTTTAGGTATAAGCTTCAAAGACAAATATTAATGATTGGTTTTCTTCCTTTAACAACATCAAGAAAAAGAATGCATAGTGTCAGATATTTGTCTATTTGGTTGAATTATGATGTGTGAAGCTAGAAAATGAGTCTGTTTACATTCTATTTGAGAAAACAGAAATTAGACTGCAAGACAATGCTTTTCGAAGTAATTATGTACTACTGGTTATTATATCCATACATGTCAAACTTGAAAATTGAATCCAATTGTTCAATTATTGAATAAGTCAAATTAATATATTTAACCATCCAATAATTCTATGTAAATTCATGGAGAGCAAGCGCTTTGTCTCCACATGACTGACTTTTCATACTAGTATCGCGGCGTGAATGCGCGAATCTCCCTTCCAAAGAATCGCGACCTATGCGGTTTTCTGTGTAAACAGTAATTGAAGTGTACCACGTTTGGATCATGCTAGCTATAAGTTTTCCGAAGCTACTTGACCATACAACATGTTTTCTTACCGATGCTATGTTGCCCTAATCATTCGAACAGTCTAGACAATACCCGTCGCATCTCAGAATAATTGAATAGTTGAATATCTTTGCTTCAATTATTCAATGATCAAATAGTTGCACATCTGGAAACGTCTTCAATAACTGAGCTCAACTTTCAGGCTCGACATTACTGCTCATATCCAATAGCATAATGTACTCATATAATGTTTTCAGCATTCTTTTTTCATCAGAATATCACATTGACACGCTTCGATTTAAAATTATTCAGTTTTATAATTTTTAGAATATTTTTGTTTTTCGTATTATTTTCGATTGAAATTTTACATATTCATTCATAACTACTTGAAATGTCATACCAAATTACAGCATTGAATAAAATAGAAAATTTTTTCTAAGCCTTCAATCAATTCAAATAGCTCTCATTTTAAATTGTATCAGTCTTTGCCTACTTCTTGTTATTAAGTAGATTAGTTCATTTGATTGATAATTATATACTGATCCAATAAATTAGAAAGATGTTGAAACGCGTTGAGTAAGCTCTTGTAGAAATGAGTTTTGCCATGTGTATTTTTATTTTATTTATAGTTTCTTCACTTGTTCATCAGAGTTATAGATGTGTGTCATGAAGACGTCGAGAATGAAAACTCCGATCATACTCATTCGAATGAGAGGAGAAAGTATCCAAATCAAGCTGACACCATTTTGGCTTCTAGTCTTTCTAACGACGCTTTCTTCGCTTACACACTACATCCAAAAAAGACAAATTTTTGAAGTTTTAGTGATCTTGTGTCGTTGAAGATTGTTACAACGATGAAAAAAAAACCAAATTTGGCAGTCTTTTTCTTTCCCCATCACTACAATGGCCTTGAATACAGCTGACGATAGCAAAACAATCAAAGAGACAATCAATCAATAGTATTTCTTAGAAATATGCTGTCAACTAATGACA